CACCTGCCCTGTATTAGCAGGTGCTAAGGCACACCCCGACACAGTTCCAAAAGGAAGCTGCCTGCCACCAGGCTGGAAGGTTCCTGCCAAGTTGGGGTGAGCACGAAACAAGCTCATCGCACAGCCACACGATGCGGGGCAAGGCCTCAGTACCTGCTTGGGTAAGTACTATGTAGGTACTACATGGTAGTGACTTGGTAGCGAGGTACCAGCGGGGCGCTGCTTGGCCGGTTGAGTCAACGCTTCATCGTCTTGGCCTGTCAGACGTGCCCACCCCAAATTCGTCACCATCGCGGGGCAACTTTAAGCTTGCCAGCTGCAACCAAAAACTGCCCCTGCCCTGCTTTGGTTTGCGGATCGGCACCAACACTGCATGCCCGCGCCAGGACAACAGCACACGAGCGATACGCTACACGTCTGTCCGCCTACTGCACATTCTTTAGCACCTATCTGCAACACGCGACATCTATCTCCCCAATGGACAAGCAGCACGAAGAACTTCTTCGGCGGCCCCTCTACGGTTCGAATCGCTCCCCTCCATACCCCGCCACCATGACGTTTTGCTGACCAGCGCCAGTCTACGACCTGCCCCCCGAAGTCCTCACCACCCTCGCTCTGAAGACAGACGTCGATAACGAGACCCAGCTTCTCGAGGAACAAAGGGTGCAGTCGCAAAAGAGGAAAAATGACACGGAGGAGAGTCTCGTTGGCTCCCAGGCCTGTTCCCTCTGCGGACTGAGCTTCGCCTCCCTGCTGGACCAGAGGAGCCACCTCAAATCCGACTGGCACCACTACAACCTCAAACAAAAGCTTCGCGGAAGCCCCGCCGTGTCAGAGGTGGACTTTGAAAAGTTGATTGGCGGTATGTTGAGCCATTCGCCCCCCCTTCCCTCCGTCCTCGCAACACTTTCGCTGACCTTGCCGCCTTGTTTCTCTCTTTCCAGACCTTGACGAGAGCTTGTCCGGCTCCGACTCTGAAGACACCGAAGATGACGACGACAGCGACAACGTCCGCAAGGAGACAACCCTCACAGCGCTACTGAAGAAACAAGCCGTCATTGCCGACAGGAACAACGATAACAAGGAGGACAATGACGGCGAGGGAAGCCTCTCAAGACCGAGACGAAATCCAGGGAAACCACCGCTGATATGGTTCACCTCGTCCGTCCTGCCCAAGAATCACTTCTTCGGCCTCTACCGGGCCATCCTGACGGCGGAGGACCTGCGTCTCGAGCCCAAGATGGTCGACGTCGTCAAGGCCAAGCAGCTCGAGCCCCTCGCCATGCCCAAGGTCGGCAAGGATGGCATTCTTCCCGAAATCGCCTACAAGGGCCCTCACTTCTTCCTCTGCATGATCGGCGGCGGCCACTTCGCCGCCATGGTTGTCTCTCTCGCGCCTCGGCCGGGCAAAGGCGCGACAGGCCCGCTGAACAGGGAGGCAACGGTGCTCGCCCACAAGACGTTTCACCGGTACACGACGCGAAGGAAACAAGGTGGCTCGCAGTCGGCAAATGATAACGCCAAAGGCGCCGCACATTCAGCCGGCGCCAGCATACGACGCTACAATGAGCAGGCACTCATTGACGATGTCAGGCCCTGCTGCAAGACTGAAGGTCTCCTAGACACGTCGAACTGCTCTTCATCCGCCGCGGACGGGTTCGACGGATCGCAGGACCCTATTTCGGGGCCGGTACGATGGACAGGTACTACGACA